GATTTAGAGAGCTCTCTAACTGACATTGTTACTAGTAAGAATTTAATTGTAGAGCTCTCTAATTGAATTGTTACTAGTAAAAATGCAATTACGACGAGTAAGGCTGGGAACAATTTAAGCTAAAACGGCTGTGAGCTGTGAGCTGTGAGCTGTGAGCAAGTACAAGCGCGGCGTGTATGTATCGTTAGCCGAATACCGTTACTCTGCTACCGAGCCAAAGCAAGGTAGCCAGACAGCAGAAACAGAAAACATGGCGAAAACGTACGATTATCTGTTCAAACTGCTGCTCATCGGAGACAGCGGAGTGGGCAAGACGTGTCTGCTGTTTCGATTCAGCGAGGACGCGTTCAACACCACCTTCATCTCCACTATAGGTCAGTTCAACTCTGTGGTTTCTACTGCAATGCCTCTTGTGTGGTCCTGCGGGAGGAGAAATAAGCTGTTAGAGAGTGTCGTGGAGGTTTACACACACATGTGGCTGTCTGCTGAAGTGACAGGAAGAGGCCGTGGATGTGACAGCCCGTTCACTCAGCTATTCATCGACATGTGTTTTATTAGCGTTGAAAATGACACGCCCGATTTTACATAATGAATTGTCAGGATCACTTGGGATATACTACTTTAATCTGTAATTTGAAGCTAGCATGATTGCATTGTGATTAGCTGTGCTGTGGGCTGGACTGCACTTTCGTTTCTGTGGTTAAAGAGACGTGTAGATTCACATTTGACCACCAAAGAAGAGTTCGAGCGGGCCAGAGCGAGCACTTTACTTGGGTTAGAGTAAAAGGTGGGTTTGTGTGCTGTCACAGGTGGCTTATCTCATCAACATCTGATTGCTTACAACATGGTGATGTTACATTTGTGATGGTACATCAGTTCCTACTTTCACTTTCACTTTAAAGTTGGCATGACATTAAAATGTATTTCATGCTAACTTTGTTTTGTAAATTCATGTTATAGACCCTATTTTGAACAATTAGTATGTGCATATGTTTAATTTTTTTCATGTTTTGATCTCATCAAAGTGTCACAATTGACCCTTCTGGTAAAAACCACAGACATCTCTCTGGTGACAAATGCAGGACTTGTCCAATCACTTAGTCCACATAAACCCCGCCCCTGCAAGCTCACATTCATCTCCCTTCACTTTTTGAGTGTTACGCCCACATCTCAAAATCCAATCAACCACCAATGGATTGAAAGTCCTACACCCTACAAAAGATCTGTAGCTACTTCCTTTTCGCTGTGATTTTAACACTATTACAGAAGCAGCATCTGTTTCTTAAGTCAGCACATCTATAGTGTTATTCTAGAATATGAAACCCTCAAAATCAGAGCATACACGTGTCACAAGAAATTGTACTAACATACATGGACTAGGTCACCAGGCTCATAGTTTTTGACCAAGTTACTTGTGATATTTTTGACACAGCTTTAGGTAAGCCTGTCTCTACTGTGGTCCAATACGACATTTCCTGTGCGAAACCCGTGCGAGAGTTCCTTGACCTTTTGTCATTGTTATGCCACAGACTTCCCCTATTGCCATGGACAATACTGCTGTGTCACTTCCTGTCCCATGTCCTGTCTGAGCTTTCACTGGTGGCAGGATTGAATGCCTTAATACACACTGCCAAGTTTTCTCATAATTGCCATAAACAGTGGCCACGTTCTGTTGCTACTGAATGCAACAGGTTTATATGCATGTGCAAAGCCTTTTGCAACACTGCAGCCATTGAGTCGGTCAGACATATGCTACACCATTCTGACCTTTCTACACATTCCATCTCCATGGTTACGCCATGAAAAGTGCTAATGCAACAGTCCCCTTTAAGTGGAAAGATTTGTGATGTGTTCTGAAATGAGTCAGTTTCACATTGTGTCATGATAGGACTGATTTCTGTTGTGTTAACACTAGGTTTTGAGATGAAGCGTTTCACATCACTTATTTCTAAACATTATTATTGCAGGGATTGACTTTAAAATCAGAACAATTGAGCTGGATGGGAAGAAGATCAAGCTTCAGATCTGGTGAGAGCACAAGTCTGCATTATACAGTATAAAGCAAAGATGTGAAAAACCTGTGAAAAACTAAACTGATGCCTCGTTCTATTTATGACGAACTGTACTGACACTACGTTCAGATGATTTGCAACTGTAGTGTCAACAAGTGTAGACAGACTTTTAGCGGCAAAGTTGTAGTATTTCCTCAGCAACCAGCACGGATCAGCTCTAGGCATGACGAAGCAGATATCGTCCTCTTTTGGAAGGCCAAACAAAGTAGTTTCGCTTTCACAATGAAGCACACAGCGCCTTCACGACATGGCAGCGGCAGCAACAACAATACTACAGCGAGAATAAAAGTTACACCGCCTTTGTTTGCGTGAACATTTGGGCGGTGTTATGCAAATCTTCCCACATAGTGATGTAGATATTTGGGAGCGTGTTTAAACGAGCCGTTTTAGATAGGCGTGGCTGACTTTGAACTTTTATAAAGAATATCTTTAGATTTGAGACTTTAGTCTTTGCAACTTTACAGATCTTCTTTATGCACCAAGAGCTTGTAACACTCCAAAGAGAAAGGAAAAATGTAAATTTAAATTGCATCATATGACCCCTTTAAGGTCTTTCCAGCATTAAGGTAATCCTGCTTTTTTTTTAATCATCTTGTCTCAGTTACAAATTTGACTGGTAAATGATAAAGAATGATGGCCCCTTTTGCATTGCACATATCAGGGATGACAGATTGATAAAAAGACATGCTATTTATGACTAGATGTAACTTTTGATACTTCGCGGTAAAAGTGGCTCTCTGATTGACTTTGCCCTATCAGTGCGGCTCTCATGAAAAAAATAGTGAAGACCACTGACCTACAGTCTTACAAACATTTACAAACTGTATCCGGTATGATAAGAATGTTATGTTACATTTTATGTTATGTTACGTTATGTTTGCATTTTCACTGTTTACAATGGCAGGGCCTGCCATCTTGTCTTTTTGGTTTGTTGTTTCTGTTTGCACTTTAACCCTAAGGGGGAAATCCAGATCATATCCCAGAAGGGAAAATCAAAACAAAATAAAGTTAAAACTGGTTTTGAACAATTTCTTTGTCATCTGTAGATTGATTTTAAGTAGGGGGGAAAAAAATCGATTTAAATCGTAAATCGGATTTTTTTGTGAAAAAATCTGGGATTTTTTTTAGGCCATATCGCCCAGCCCAAATATAAATATATACATGTAAATATTTTCAAAATATATACTGCATTTGTGTGTATTTATATATACATAATAAATATACACAGTACACACACATATATTATGTGAACAAAAACTTTTATTTTGGATGCGATTAATCGTTTGACAGCACTAGTACAAACAATATTTTAAATGTTTTTTTTATTTGCCATAAAGGGATACAGCCGGACAGGAGAGGTTCAGAACCATCACCACTGCATATTATAGAGGAGCAATGGTAATGGTCTTATTCTCTTGAGCAAATAATGCTAGATATGCTTCTGCACCGGTTACATTTCCTAATCTATGTGTTTCTTTTCTGTCATTTTCACAGGGAATTATGCTGGTGTACGATATCACAAATGAGAAATCATTTGACAACATCAAGAACTGGATCAGGAACATTGAAGAGGTGAGAAGCAGACCTAATGCATGAAGTTTTCACTTCATCAATTTTAAGTGAGATTAATTTTCCCTCTTTATTCATGTTTTATCAGCATGCATCATCAGATGTGGAACGGATGATATTGGGTAACAAATGTGACATGAATGATAAGAGGCAAGTTTCAAAAGAAAGAGGGGAAAAGGTATGTATCATTAAAATATATTTTTCAAATGACTGAAAATCTATTTTATGAAGCAAATCTTGGTCCAGAAACAAGCCAGAACAAGCTATTATGTAAAAATGCTGATGTGTTTATTTAAACATTTCCCTTTTTTCTGCTACAGCTAGCTATTGATTATGGAATCAAGTTCTTGGAAACAAGTGCAAAATCTAGCACAAATGTTGAAGAGGTGGGGGAAATTCTCTTGTTAAAATCAGTCTTTTTTTTGGAAAGAATTAGTTATCTAATATTGATTAATTTATTTGAACAAGATTTGCATTTTTTTTACTGATCTAATCTAGTGGCATGTTTTTCTTCAATGCTAGGCTTTTGTCACTCTTGCTAGAGACATCATGACCAGATTAAACAGAAAAATGGTGAGAATGAAATATTACAATCATGTAGAAAATGTTTATTATCCTGAATCTCAGAAAGTGGTTAAGAAAATGCTTAGTACTACTCACTGACTCAAATATAGAAATATATGATGTTAATATTATTGAAATGTCTTTATTTTGTCCAAAAGAACTTTAAAATGTGGGTTTATGTCTAACACTAATGCTGAATGGATCTTTGTGTTTAGAATGAGAATAACCCTTCGGGAGGAGGAGGAGCAGTGAAAATCACAGAGAGTCGATCCAAGAAGCCAAGCTTCTTCCGCTGCACTCTGCTCTAACCCGGGAACTTCTGCAGCCTCAGTGTGTGAATGATTTCATTTCTCTATGTGTGTTTGGCGTGCACGTGTGTGTGTTTGTGTGAGGGTTTACAGTACCACTGGACTTTCAGCTGTTTAATGTCAGAGTTAACTGATCATGTAAAAAAGATTAAAATATCTTTTATAAGTTATTTACAAGTGCCTGATTTATGCTTTATGATGCTTTGCCATATGAAATAATATATAATTGATATAATATTATTAGGAAATATGTGAAGTTGTTGAGTAATAAACAGCATAACTGAAATAAAATTTCCCTTTGAAAAAATGGGATCGTTAATATCTACAGCACAGAGGTAGTCCCTGATTTCCCTTTTTGCATACCATGTTTTAGCATTAAAATGACATACCTCATTAATATAAATGTATGAAATATGCCTGCTAGCTAGCTAAGGCTACGTTTACATGACAACGATGTAGTCAAAAATGGAAACGTTTTCCCCTTGCGTTTTAAAAATGTTTCACGGTATACACGACAACATTTTCAAAACGATTAGCGTTTACACATCAAAAACGGCCAAAAACGCTGTATTACGTATGCCAGGCCAATAGTTGGCGCTGTCACCTTGTTAGTAAACTACCTGTAGGGAAGTGACGATTATATGTTGTATATGATGCGTCTCCGCTGTTGGTTGTAATATTGGTGAAGTAAATCCACACTTTGCTGAAGAAACGTTGAGCAGCTTCTTCAGAAACTCTTGAGCAGCAACAACAGTACCATGTACTCTGCCATTGTTGTATATGTTTGTTCGCGCTTGCCTTAAAATCGACACTTACTGCACATGTCTACATACCTAACACGTATTACGCACGCGCATGACATCACCGTTTTCAAAGATTCCCGTTTTGGGTGTTTACACGGAAACGATAACGGTGGCGTTTTCAAAAATGTGCACTTTGAAACCCGTTTCTAAGGCCCTGTTCACACGAACGCGGTTATTTTGAAAACTTTTTCTACGCGGTTAGGCCGTTCGTCCACACGCAAACGCAGCACCAGTTCTCTGAAACCGAACATTTTTGAAAACGCCTGCCAGGGTGAAGATTTTCAAAAACTCCGGTTGCAGTGTTATCGTGTAGACAGCGAAACCGGAGTTTTTGGCTTGTGACGTTGGAGCCTGCACTGTTATCTCCGCCTACTGGAAACTTTTTCAGGCTTCTGATTGGCCAACATGCCTTTACGGTTGAGATTATATCGTCACCTGTTGGTTTGGCATGCTCTTGACAGTGCTTCATAGCATGCGTTTGCGTTTTCATGTGGACAGAGATTTTTTTTAAAAACGGAAGAAGGAAAAATTCACAAGCATAACTAGTGTTAGAAGTGTGTTCCATACTGGAAAACAATGAAAATCAACTTTTTTAACGTAGCACTACTGCGATGATCTTGCGCTATGTCTGTGTGTCTGTCCTCTCTCTGGAGGGTCTGTAGTCATTGGTGTTCACTTCAAAGGCCCCAGCCAGGTCTTTCACACTACTGGCTGCTCGAGGTTTAGCCAGGATGCTCCCTACAGCCTTCGCCTTTCGTGGGTTAGTGTTCAGACTCTTAGATCTGAGTGATGGGTACATCCTGTCCTCTGCAACATACAAGTGATCTGAATCCGTCAGCTCCTCTCTTTTCTCTTCTCCTCCCTCTGTTTTGGTGCTTTCGCTATTCGCCTCTGACTGATCTTCGTCTTTCTTCTTCTCCTCACTTTCCCCTTGTTGGGCTTTTGTCCACTTGCTCTCCTTAGAAGATCCTTCTTCATCTTGGGCTTCTCTCTGTATTAATTTCTCTAAAGATGTCTTGGGTGAAAGTCCAAAAGGGGAGGGATGAACTTTGTCATCGAAGCATGGAGGCCAGCGACCTAACGTTGGCGATCTGCTTGCTTGATCCTGTAGGCCGTGTGGCTCCGAAGCCCACATATTCCCTGGACTGCACAACCTCGACTGTGCCATCGAGACGTACAAAGTACCACTTTGGGATCTGTTCTCGTACGAAAGTGAGTTAATTTGAGCTTCAGTTGGGTACTGCCTCAGGGATTGCGCCCTTTCCAGAGGATGTGAAACTGCTATGTCTATTCCAGCTTCTAGCAGAGCTTGTGGATCTTTAGGGTGTTGAATGGAGGTGAGTTTTGGGGATTGAGAGATCTGGACTCTGTCTTGTGACTCGCAAGGAGAGATGAGGATGTCCACACTGGAGCTGGAGCGTGTTCTTTGCCGGAGGGGCACCACGTCCAGCGTGGGTCCGTAGCAAGAACCTTGATGAGGGTTTAGAAGGAGGTCACTGCTGCCAATACTGCCGCGTCTCTCTGTGTGGCCCTTCCTGTCCCCTGACATCTCCTCACCGCGGTCCTCGGCATCCAGGTGCCAGCGGTACAAACTGTAGCCATCGGCGCTGTTGATGCTGCCGCGACGAAGCAGGCTGGATTGGTCCACGGCCATTGAGCTACCGGATCGAGCACGGACCAGTTCGCAGCCGTCGATGCCAGCCAGCCGCTCCAGCGCGTGCATCATGCGGCCGGAGAACTCCTCTAGCTGAGCCAAGCGCAGGTCTACTGTCTGCAGGGAGGCTTTCATGGAGTGCTCTCGTTCATTCACCTCCTCTAGGCGCATGGACATGTTCTCGACTCTGCAACAACAAGTGTTTCAAATGGTTGTTGTTTATTTTAACCTCAATAATTATTCTAAATGTAGGGCTCAACAATAAGGATGCAAGTGTGCGAGAATTTCTGACCAGATGACAGAACTGTCGGCAGCTTTTTCGGGCCAGTGCTGCATTGCCACTAAACTTTTTATATTCACTGAGCCTGTGCACCATTTTTTATGCCTTTTAAACTTAATTGTTTGGTTTACTGTGATGTAGTCTACATTGTGGTTCCAAATTCTGCTAATTTGCCACCAAGACAATGTTAGCTGGCTAACATAGATGAGGATTTGTTGAATGTCTTGAAAGCATAAGGGGCTGTTCACACAGAACGCATTTCTGCATTCCACTGCATTATTTTGTAGCGTCTCAAACATGATGGCGTTCTAAAAACAGCACCCTTAAGTTTCACGAGTTCACACTTGCATATAATTAGCTAAAGTATGGTAATGCATATCTGGCGTGCTGTCTGGCGAAGGGCTCTGAGCTCGGGAATGCCCCGAACCTAGAGTACCCCCCCATGTTGAAGCCATGGTGTTGATTAATTTGAGCTCGCGCCACCTGTGTTAATTAGGATAAGTATCTGACGCGCTCCTCCCGAACCGTGTTAATAAAACATCATTAAAAGTAGTTCAAGTAAGACATTTTTTCAATTCTACTGCTCGAGTTTTTCAACACCCCAAGTGGAAAACAAAACTCGAGATGCGACTATATTTTAAAAGGTAGTCAGACTACAGTTTTCATTCCACTTACTTCCATTCTAGCACATGCGAATGCAGGATACAGGAAACGCAAGCTCGTGTCAATTTTTGCTGCCTTTCAATGTTCAAATTTGGTGAACTTTGACCTGCAACTTTGTATCACGTCAAGCTGTGTGATCAATAGAAGGTTGGTGAGATCTCTTAGCTGAATTCAATTAATGCATATCTGGCGTGCTGTCTGGCGAAGGGCTCTGAGCTCGGGAATGCCATGGTGTTGAAGCCATGGTGTTGATTAATTTGAGCTCGCGCCACCTGTGTTAATTAGGCTAAGTATCTGACGCGCTCCTCCCGAACCGTGTTAATAAAACATCATTAAAAGTAGTTCAAGTAAGACATTTTTTCAATTCTACTGCTCGAGTTTTTCAACACCCCAAGTGGAAAACAAAACTCGAGATGCGACTATATTTTAAAAGGTAGTCAGACTACAGTTTTCATTCCACTTACTTCCATTCTAGCACATGCGAATGCAGGATACAGGAAACGCAAGCTCGTGTCAATTTTTGCTGCCTTTCAATGTTCAAATTTGGTGAACTTTGACCTGCAACTTTGTATCACGTCAAGCTGTGTGATCAATAGAAGGTTGGTGAGATCTCTTAGCTGAATTCAATTATGCTAACTATAAATATGCAGAATTGGAGTGGAGTAGATTGCATATTTTTACATTTTGAATGTATTATGTTGAATTATGTAAAAAAAAAAAACCGGCAAGAGTGTGATGTCATATTATGAGCATTGCTGTGTCCGTAGAAATTTGGCATGCTTAAAGTCTAGTGTGTTCATGGCATTACTTCAACGCTGCATTTTTAGAACACCATCATGAGACGGTGCAAAAGAGAGCAGATGTGATGCAATGGTCAAAGAAAACCATATTTACCACATATTTACTTCAAAGGGAATCAATTTGAAAGCAGTGCAAAAACACATTCTGTTGAAAACTACATACCAGACAGTAATGTTTTACATCGCATGCAACAGTTAAAAAAACCTGTTTATGAATGTATGGAGTTAGATTCTAAATATATTTTGCAGCTTATTTCAAAAACAAAAAAATGCATTGCTTACTATAAAAAATTGTCATTTAGAATCACAACAGAAGATCCTTATTGTAGAGCCCTGAAATGACATTTGCAGGTGCAGTTGTTAATTTTCATCCAGTACCTCTGGGAAGTAATTCGGATTCGCTCATCATTGGAAGACTGCGCCTCGTCCTCCTTCTCTCTGAAGTACTCCTCCACACACTGTTCCTCAAACTCATACAGACTCTTCAGTTCCTCAAGACTCAGAGTCAACTCTGAAAAAAGAAAAAAAATATGCTTTAAAATAGGTTGCTATAAGATTGATACACTGAAGCAGTAAAAATGAATAATAGGAGTTATAACTCAGTCCGCGGTCTCTCTCATCCAGCTCCCCTTCCTGTTTCTTCCTGCAGCGGCAGCACAGGCGCTTCAACACAATGTATATGTGGCTGAAGATGATGAGGGGAGGAGGAAGCACTGGTCTGTCGTGAAAAGTCATGATGAGCTGGTAGCGTTGGAACTTCCATACTTGGTTGGAGATGGATTTCACTTCAAAGAATGTGTTACTGTGAAAGCAATGAGTTATCTCAGTGTTGTACTGCTGATAATGAATCTATGAGAACATAATACTGTGCTCCAGTACTATGGCTCATCATTGCTTTACATTACAGTG